CTGAACGATGGCAGAGAGTGGGTCATCTTCCTGGTGCCATATTAATAATACAGGAGAATTATTAGCAGCCTGGACACAAGAGCGATATCCAGCATTGGTAAATTTTTTTGTTCAATCTTTCGCTACAGTAAAAAATAGTTGTGCAAACAATGTAATTGATAGATTTTAAGTATTGAATGTTTAATAAACATTATCTTTGGATACGTAAATTAAATAATAGTGCGTGGTAGTTCCCCCACGTGCAAAAAGAGATACTTCGTAATGTGCTGACAAAATAGCAACCGGGAGAAATTGATTTTTAGTAAAGTCCTATAGTTTTCTTAAGGGGGTATTCTAGTGTAGAAATTAAAAAAATCGATTTTTTTTGTTTCATATTTTCAAAGTTTAAGTGTCTAAGAATATGGGTACGAGAAGGTTTTTGAAAATTTGAATTATTTTCAGAGATATAGGCATTTTACTGACTCGGTCTCCAAACTGGTTTGGCAGGGTCTAATCGGACAAAAAGCATTAGGAAGTCATTAGACCAATTTGAGACAGTTTATCGTCAGATGAATTATTATTAATTCGATGTATAGGTTCAGAAACTCAGAACAATAATAATGAATCACTAAACTCGTTGATTTAGATTTTCGCGCCGTAACATATTCATTCCCGATCTGGGTAATTGAATAGCAACATTTATTGCTGTTTGCATATTCAATGAAGGTTTCTTTCCGATTTTAAAAATGATGGCCATTATGGGCCAGAAACTCATTCATTGAGACAATGCCCGGATTGAAGGATCTGAAATACGTACATCCAACGCTTCAGAGGAGTCTAGAACTGCTTGATTGGAAGAGACAAATACAGAAAATAGTTTTTTTGAAGTAGAAGGAGGTCCGATGCATAAATCAGGAATGGCTGATTAAATAAAAAAAGTATAACATATCATTTTATGACTTTAACAGCCAAAAACTTCACGCAAAACTTTAAATGCGTTTTTCTCAGAACAGACTTTTTCAGTAATGTTGACACGATTTATCGAGTTCTACTCGATCGATTTACTTGAAATGTTCAGAGAGTCTTGTTTATAGACCTAACTGTAGCCCGAACTAGCATCATCCCCAAATTACAATTTTTACTATATTTACATATTCGAATTTGTAAAAAAATTTTTTTTATTCATCGCTGGTTCGGGCGATTGCGACATCATTGTAGATTAATAATCTATTTATTTTATTTCGGTGGCTAGGAGGGCTGAAATCATGTCAAGTCTGAGGTGCCAATTTTTTGAGACCCCCTACTTCATCTTCAATTTTCAACTTTTTTTAAATTTTTGTATTGTGTTATAATAATATTAATAAAAAAATGGTAAAAAATGGATAGTAAAAACATTCATTGCTTTCTTTTACGACACTTTAAAAATGACCTAAAATTTATCGCTTTACACTAGAATACCCCCTTAAGGCAAACTTTATCAACAATGCACAATTGACTGAATCGCCTGTTATTATCATTTTCGATTCAAAATCTAAAATTATTACAATTCAAATATCTAAATCTATGGCATCTACGTTAGATTATAATATCTTAAGTAAGATACGTATTGTTTTTGAGTCCTTTTATTCAATATTTTTTCAAGAACTATATATTTTGGTTATTATCATGTATCATTCCTAATCAAATATTGTCTAAAACATGCAGGTAATAGTGGCAAGAAAGATTTTTCAACAAATAATTTAAGATCTATTTTTCTGATTGTGATTGATAACAACTCCTCCATTCCGGATTTCGTTATATTCAAACATTACAATGAAATTAAAAAATATCATATGGGAATAACAGGTTCGATTTTCGAGTTGTTTGTTACCTGATCTTCATTAAATACATAAATTATTGAATTGAAAACACAATTGAATTAAGGACAGTTTACCATTTTACAACCGATTCCATATTTCTATTCTATGGGAGAATTATTCACCTACAAGTGAAAACGAAAGTAAAATTTCTGTAAATAGCATGCTTTATGCCTTCAATGGGAATTCTCTGCTTTGATTAATGTTTTCGTGATTGTTTCCTTGGTGTAATACTACTCCAAGTTAGTGATAAATACTTAAGGCAACCTCGTTGGAAGTCGCATAAGAAATATAACTTCAGAGAAGAGAGATGTAGTTTAAACATTACAAAATTAACTGTTCAGAATGTGTTTTTAATATATTTTTAATGTGTTTTTCACTTATACCACGTGCTATATAAAACTTGTAACGTTTATATTGCTTATTCGAATTATATATACAAGTATCAATTCTTCTTTCAGCCTCATCGTGTAATAATTCCCGAGCACAACATCAGAAACAAAGGACGTCATGCGATAGCCTTCTTCTGCCATCCTGATAACTGTACCCCGATTGCTCCATTGGACTTACCAGAAGAGCAATGTCCATTTCAGAAGCCTTGCAAAAAGACTACGAAGGAACAATTCAGACATGCAAAAGACAGAGTCTTTACAGCTTATCAACATCTACAGAAAGATTCAGAGAGACTTATGCTTCTTGATATTTGTAAAAGATACAATTATTGTTAAAATAGATTATTAAAAGTTATACTTAAAAATGGTGTACTTAAGAGGAAAAAGACGATGATTAATTATTTTAAATCTCGTATGAATATTTGTATGATGAGACTAACTGCAGAAATGTTTATGAACATTACTTTTAATGCAATAAATCTTGGTGGCAGTTTTTAAACTTTGATAATACAAAAAAATATTGAAATAATTGTAAAATAATACTATTGTTGGCTTCTTTGATGTCAAAAATGAATATTTTTCAAAATTCTATAATAAGTTGCTGCCACAAAAATCTGTGTTTCAAAATGATTTTCACAAAAAGTACTGGTATTATGAATAATTGTGGTATCAAAATATGTTACCTGAAAATATATTCCAAATTGAAATTCTAAAATGTTATAACAAATAATGTGTATTCAAAAATCGACATTTTATTAAGTACTTAGATGAAATAACTCTCACCGAATTCTACTTAATTTTACATATACTAAATTATTCAAAAAAAAAAATAACTCGAAAAGATTTACTTGTAAGATATTTTTTTGAATCATTCTAATGATCGTATTTGTAACTTCAATTGAAACTTTTGGAAAATACATTTTATAAAACAACCCAAATTGATTTTTTATTAAATTTATAATGTATATTTTTAAACTAGTTGTATATGGCATCATGTCTTAAGGCAAATTGCAGGAACTTCCCGTACCAAAAATTCTTATTTTTTTTAATAAAGATTAAATTTTTTTAAACTTTGAAAAGAATTCATTTTTGAGAATTTTGAAATTTTCGAAAAAATTGACTTTTGAAAAAAATATATATTTATATTTTGAAATATTTTGGAAATTTTAAACTTTTTTAACTTTCCGTAAGGTAAGTTATAGTAATCGCAAAAAAATCGAAAGTTAAATTTTTTATGTATCTTCGCGTTTCAGAGGTTTCTGAACATTTTGGCAAACCTTAGAAAAATTGATGTATGTATGTGTTTGTGTGAGTATAAAACATTTTACTTGTATTGACGAAATGAAATTTATGTGTGCAGGTCCAGCGTCTTTGGAGATCCAATAAAAAAAGTAAAAATAATGCCTTTGGCGGTCAAAAATGATCATTAGACATCGTACATCGTATTATCAGATATTTTATAAAAATTATAATAATAAGTACAAATT